ACACAACTTGTTTCGCTGACAGAAAACAGCCATCGAATATCATTCACTTTCTCCTATCAGTGGTACCAGAGACAACACTAGATTGGCTGTGTGGCAACAGGCAGTGAAAACCACTGTTGTGAACGGAGTAAGGTGAACAATTGAGCGAGCAAGCACCCCCACATGATCTGCCTACATAAGGCATATCAGACCAGTGACACAGGACCGTTGCTTCAGAATCGTCAGCGATGTATAAACATTGTACAGGGATTGTCAATGAAAAATGCTGCCGCAACCCCAATGTAGCCGACTGTGACAGTATTCTGTCTTTTGTTTTTATGTGTACGGAAGATTTGGGGGCCGAAGCATACCAATATTGCACTGAGTGTTTTTTTAAAGTTTTTTTTTTGGTTAAATAAATACTTGTCAGACCAGGTCCAACAAGGCAAGAGGAAGCCTTGAAACAGAAGGGTCTGGCGAAACTATATTTTGCGTCTGGCTGCTTCTCTGTGAGAGCAACAAATGTAAAGCACTGATATTTGTGGTTCTTCCTCCAAGACGATATGTAAATGATAGCAAACCTGCTCAATGTACGTTGTCGTTCCATTCCGGGAATAGCCACACCTGACAGCACACCGCACCCTTTACACAACAAAATCAAAGAGCGTGCAAGTTTTTCCGGCTGAAATGAATCGCTATTCTGAGAGAATGTATATGACCAGAAATTACACTTCTACTCTTGAGAACAATTCAAAGTGTCTTTTTTTGCTTCTCTCAAAACATCGCCTGTACATTCGGAGTTTTGGAAACTGAAGACAATCTAATTTTAAGTACCGGTGTTTTATTGGTAGCGAGAGGAAGGGAAAAGCTTAGTTTTGCTAAGCGTTTTATTTGCAGATTAATCACATTACACCTTCAAATTCTGCTGACTCGCTCTTAAACCATATCCTAAGAAGCGCATCCAAGAAGTCAAGACTTCAATAACTGAGCCTGATCTCGGAGCTTTAATCTGCTTGTTTAATGGATTTCAAATTTACCAACAGAAACTCAATCGAGAGCGCACCGGCTGCGCGTGCGAAGGTGCATCTTTTGCACAGTTCATCAACGGGTTTTTGTTGCAAATGGCACTGTTTTTTCCGGCAGATGCTTCTAGCTAAGAAAATTGAGACTGGCTACTACGACTGTTAGAAATTATTACAGTAATTCTCAGTCCACACCCGAAAAATTCAGAACTCAAGATGCTTCTGCTGTAGAGTCACGTCTAATTTCACGTGTTTGTACGTGAGGAGAAACGTAAATGCCGCTTACGCGCGCGCTTGCCAAAAA